GAGACACTTCTTGTAGCAGCTGATCTCCAGAGTAAGTGCTATTTTCTTATGTAGCTATTGAATTATCTAGTTGCACGCGCTTAGCAAAGCCACAGATTAGTGATAGCAACTGGCTCGCTTTTCCGAATCAAAAATGGCTCGTACAGAGTTTATAACACTATTCACAGGCTAGCACTTGCAGAATAAGTGATGACTGAGATAGTCACGCTTACAGCAGTGCTATTTGCCGACGGCTAAACATCGACGGCATACGGAGCTCAGCCGCTAGTTTCATTTATTTCAGCTCCATGTATTAATTACCGTTATCGCTGCGTTTTTTACCGCTATTGTATGATTACATCATTTTGGTACTACTCTACTCAGTGTATACAGGTCGTTGGTTAGTAATGCAGGTTTAATATCATTTAACGGAGCCCGTTTCCGTCTCATCAAAACCCTCGCGGTAGAACTCATCAGTAGAATCGATAGACCTATGACACATAACGCACTTAATGACAAGAGTCATCAAAGCCTAACTATTCTATTATGCAGTGTCCATAAACCCTTTAAAAATCATGTAGAAGGTTTTGTCACACAACGCTCGACGTCTCTTAGCTAACGCCCTGTAGAACCACTTGCCAATAGGTGTGGTAAGGGGCCGATGAAAGAGCTGTATTTTCGTAGTGCAATTTGATAGAGTCTGACAGGTTTCTTATATAGGATGGATTACACTCCATGATCGACGAGCACTGATGGGACTGCATTTGTTTCGACGCCATCAGACGCTTTTTCATAGCCGACAAATATTAGAATTAAGGAGTTGTGATGTTCCTGACAGACTTCAATGACCCGGTTTGGTTATGGTCCATATAGCGGAATCCTTTATAGAAATCTGCTTGATCAATTGGCTGAGTCTCTTCCGAAATTACTGGTACGCGAAAAAGCATATTCTTCGTAAAAAGCTTACAGAGCCCACTCAACAAGCAAATTGGACGATAATCATGAAGATCCCTTCGGACACCCTTTTTGTGGAGGATCGTTACGCGCGACGTTCTCCAGTTGTCTGAAAATTCTCCTTCTGAGGTAGGATGTCATATCTGTAAAGAGTATTACATGCAGATTATGCGTTGCAACTGTTAGAAAGTCGGGTGTGATGTTAACAAATCCTGGACCAGTGCCATTTTTCTTGCTTTGTGTCGCAACTCGTGCTTCAAATGGTCAAATCCTGGCTGGCCTTCTTCCGTGGGGGATCTGGCGTTCGAGACGGGGGACAGTAGAGCAGAGAAGGTTGACTATCAATTCCATCTTATGACAGGATGATCTAGCATTCTCATCACCGTTCATCAGGGATGCGAGAGGAACACCATATTAGAACAAATTTCAACGGCACTTCTGTGGATAAATCTTTTTTCTGCTGCTTCCAATAATTTCTTCTGTCCTTATCGATGGAGGTCCTCCTGCAAAGTTTTTCTGCAGCTAGAGGTTTTTGTCACTCGAACTCAATGTGTTGCAGTAGTACTGAACCTCGCTTTTGTTTCTTTTCAAGCAACTCTTTACTGGTAGTGAAGATGCGGTTTGAACTTCTTATTCGAGTAATTGAATCAGACCTTGGCACATATCTCAAGTCCTCGACAAGCAGCTCGTATCTGTAGTCGGATCCTACTTTATCTGCCAGTCATCTTTGAACAGGATTTTGCTCAAAATGTTTCCGCAATTAACAGTTTGACTAGCCCTCTCCGATCGATGAGATGACTTCTTCTCCAGCGTACGACAGAATCAAATCATCGCGAAGAACGGGGTGATCGAACCCTTTACAGAATGATGAGACCACGAATGTGTCAAGAAGCCAGCATCTTCTGTCTGTGAGCATGATCGATCTCCGTATTGTGTTGTGCTATTAAATGACTCTCGTGTCCAGAGGCAGTGTTCTTTCATCTATAAAAGTGAATTTCCAATGCGCTCCAGACAGGAAGCGGGGCAAAACTATTTCCATTCTCGTTTCTTTCTCCTATCGAATAATTATCGACTATTCATAGAAGAAACTATATCTGGCGGGAAACTCTTGAATATGGATCAAAATTTATTGCGACTGTTACAGCGCATCCAAAAATGCGATCGTGGTAGTAAAGTATACTGTCTAAATTGCCGAAATTTTGGTTATATGACAGATATTGAAGTTTTGAGAAAAAAATAAAAAATGAGCATCATTCCAAAAAGTTTAAAACAGGGTGCCTTCCTCAGAAGAAACTTACTGAACTGTAAAGCACCGTGATACTGACGTGGCCGAATGGCCGAAACATTTGTACAGTACTATGTAAGCTCCATAACAGACCTCATGAAAAACGTAGAATGTCTCCGAAAATTATGTATATTTGTATATATGTCCATAGTATCACGCTTTGAGCTGTTAGGTCTAGTGGTACAGAGGCCATCAGTAGCGTCCTCCCTCAGTTCAGCCGATCCCCTAAGTTATATAATTCTCCATAAAAAAATCGACGCCGAGTAATAAATCACCTTAAATCAGATGATGAAGCTACCTGACATTGTGGCGAACGGCATCCGAGCTCGTAGGGTTTATAATGAATGAGGGTGGTACTGATGAGTCCCAATAGGACGAAGCAGGTTCCTGTATACCACTAGGACCTAACACCTCGAAACATGCTGCATCCTCATCAGATTATACCATTTTGAGCGGGCACATTGAAAGAGGTCGATTAAGAGGTATATATATATATATATATATATATACGATGTTCTATTTTTTCCAAACAACCCATGGTCGCATTCTGATGTGAGAATCCTAGTAGTTTCAATATTCGATTTGTTCATTTCGCGATCATTGTCCCAAAGATTTTCGGAAATTCTGCGTCTTGTTCAAACTGTTGCTTGAGGATTCGATTTTCTTCGTGAGTGTCATGGAGTGAGTACTAGTGAGGTAGAACCTTGAGCATTTTTAAGGATGGTCAGGCTGAGAAGTTTCTAGGTAATTGCAAGAGAGCGCATGAAGAGTGGATCGAGCCACTATGTTGCATCGTTAAGGCGAATATCATAAACCACTCGGCAGCCGCTCTCCGATCCCTTGAATATTTATACGCTGTCACTGCGCTAAGAAAAAAAATATTCAGTTAATAAATGATGAAACATCTATGCCATCTAATTGCTGAAAAGTTTGGCGTTACTGTTATCCTAAAACTTGCGTTCTTTCATGTAACTTGCAAAAAATATAAGTAAAAACTATTAAATTCTCCACTGGCTTTTGCGCTTCTTCACTTCTTGACTTCAGATCATAACAGTGTATACGGAATAAATAAGGAAACCAACATACCACAATAAAGGTTGTATGGGTTGTGTAGACGAAAAGAAGAAGTAATGTGCGTTTCTCGACGAAAAAAAGATGAGCAAATTCATATCTAATAGAACTTGAACACCACAACTGAATCTATCATTCTCTTAATCAATGAATGACTGACAATTGAAATGTTTCATCCTCACAAGCACGAACTTTTGCTGGAAGGTAGAAGCCAAAGTGAAATAGCTTTCAAAGGACAAATGAACTTTGGCATCACCAATTCATTTGAGCAAATGAATAAACAGAGGGGATCCATTTGCTGAGAAATGAACAAGCTACTATTATAGTTTGCTTTATTAACCATATAATCAGTTAGACAAGTCACAACTGCTGCGAACTCATCCTTTGAAATATGTTGTGAGGTTATAAATATATGAAGACTATCCTGAAAGCACATATCACACATATGTGCATCATATGCATTCATGCATTTGCGCATGTATTTACACTTATATGCTTATATATGTATATATATATATATATATATATATTATATATATGCGACCATCAATCAAAAATGAATCGTCCTTGCACTAGTAGGCACTACTTTCCACCATTTGCTCATGTCTTGCAAGTCGTAGAGAAGCCATGCATCACATGCGTGGCGTATATACCGTGCTATTCTAGGCTAGGCTGCCAAAGTCGCAACGGACTAAAGTGAGAGTTTATATCTACAACGCACGTGCAATTGCATAAGAGGCGTAAATAGAAGATCTGATAATGCAGCCAAAGAGACACGACACGACCTCAGTGGCCTAGCTGAGAAAGAAAGACCCCAGTTACTTTACGCGTTCATGACACCGGTAAAAGTACTATTTCTTAAACTTCAATGTCATTGTTATAGATTAAAAAGCGAAAATTATGACTTAAAGAAACCACTGAAGAGCGTAACAGCACTGTTTAATGGATTAGAATTAATTATATTGAGTGAAAAGCTTTACAATTTCAAACTCTAAGGCCATTTAAGGTAATTTGCGAATTTGAAATCACACTCATAGCGGTGGACGTGGATTTCTCTCAAATGAAAGTACCATAACGAATAGACTATATCTTAGTAAGTTGGATATTCGGCCCTAGACTATGATGTTGCTGCTCAACATTCTTCGCTCAAGCGCTGTTTTAGTAGTGACATGACCTTATCACTATTTTACCAATAATGTTGAGTATGTACTGAATGTTAGATCTCGTGAGGTAGTTGAACCTGCTACCTACACTTTTTTTAAAGTGCAAGCTAATTACTGCATTACTGAAGCTGCTGTTTGAGCCATCACTTTTTGCTGCAATACATCATACCAACACATTCCACTTTTTGTCAAACGGGGAGAATCAACAACCAAACCGGAGTTTATTTCAATCATTAGCTGTTATTGGAAGTTTTCATCTCCAATAGTATCGTTGAAGGTGACCGTTTTATTCAACATCTTCGTAGCAGTTCTCAAGAAATCCAGAGTACGAAAGCAGCCAGGAGTATTTTGTCTTCACGAAAACTCGAGTGCATACATAAACGTGAAATCACACGAGCTGCAGGGAGCCAAAGACTCCTGCAGAGAAGAAAGAAGATCCAAACAAAAAAATCACACTTTTATCCGATGCTGCAAAGACTGGAAAACCATTTGTGAAGTCCATCGAAACTTGGTTAACTTCAAAATCAAGATGATTGCAAAAAAACGACTCCCTCAGGCGGGAATCGAACCTACGATTCATTCTATCCGGGGAAGCGTGGTCTACCACTACACCACTGAGGCACATTTGCCCGACCACTCATTCTTTAACTTCTCAATGTTAGCTATGTAGTTATATGTATGTTATGGTATATATAATAGTTATATGTTATGCTGTATGTATGTTAGTTATGATAGCTAACATTGCGATGTTGAAGAATGAGTGGTCGGGCAAATGTGCGTCAGTGGTGTAGTGGTTAGAGCACGCGTCCCGGATAGAATGAAACGTGGGTTCGATTCCCGCCTGAGAGGTCGTCTTTTTGCTCACCACTCAACAGTGCGAATGCATTGAAAAATACTATCGATTTCAAGATGATTGCATTACGATACTCTGACGACAGTAATAAATTTCAAATCTTTGACTTCGATTTATAAAGAAACTCTTGACAAGCTACTTCAACTTCATCGAACGATTCGTATCGGCCACCTTTCAGAAAGTGCTGCATTGATCGAGGTAGGCCCAAGCCGATGGAAACGCAATTTGGACCATGGGCGGAATGCGACAAAAACCTTGACTTCGTCCAATTCATCAAATTTGCATTTGGTTCTTTTTGGAAGTGTGCGGTTGACAGCATCAAAACACGCTTTTGGTTGATCAACTCGGCCTGCCCTGCTGACAACAGAATTCGGCTGGACTTGCCGTTCGGAACCAACTCCTGTAGTCTTTCCATGACACACATGGGATTACCTCATGCTGGAGAAGTGCCCCCAGGACTTTCTTTCTGACTCTGGACTCTAACCACTTCCTTTGCTACGTCTTTCTGCTGTCAGATGAGATATACGGGGCTGGATTTGTCATTCTGCCGTGTTCTCACCTCCAAAATTTACAACGCTATTTTGTGAGTTGAGGAATGATCAACACCTGGTACAGAAAAGATGAGTCCTTAACAACTGAGAAAACATTTCACCTATTCTCATCAATACGCTAGTTCAGCTCTTTACAGTGGTACCAATCACTATGCAAATCTTGTAGTAAATTCACACTTCAGCACTTTTTTGATCCGTCATCACGTGTTTTTTATTTGCTGTGCGGATTCCAGTACTTCTAGCATTGAAGTCGCTTCCACCTTCTTCTTGAATGTCGTAGAATACTTGTCGAACGAGTTTCTTTGCATTCTCGAGGATAGCCTTAGTGTGGCGTTCCATAGGGCGTTGGTGTATAGGCAGTTCATGATTACGAAAAATCGTGTTTATCGTCCAAAAAAGTCCGTCACGGCATTGGAAACTAGCGCCTATTTTGTGTGCCGTTCATCATCTGTAAACTCTTTACTTGAGCCATTATTGACAGGATTGATAAAGCACTGGGCAATGGATAGCTGAGCGAGCAAGCACGGTTTCAAAAAATATTTAGCACTATAAACCGCATCTAAATGTTTTGAGGATTGTCCGAAGTCTCGGGAGAGTACAGGTAACCGTCTGTCTCATTCAACTGAAATAGCTTTCTAGTTGAAGCAGAAGCATTCATGGTATCTCTAAACAATCAGGGCATTCATAAAAAATGCATAAATTTCTTCGTAAGTTAGATAATGATTTCACAGCTACAATTATACAATCTGTGACGATCTCATTACATATGTGAGGAGGAGTGATTTGACAGGCGATAACATTTCGTTAAAGTTTACTGCACGCATCCTGAACATCACGGGAAACAATAGAGAGCAACATGGACTGTAAATTTGACGGCTGACCAAAGTATCAGAGTCGTGATAGTCCATCACTTATTTTACCAAACCAAATTTCACTATTTCTGCGCGTAATTGACCGGCACACGGTGTGGCCATTAGTCAGTGAAATGCCATGCAATTGGTCTTCGCCCGTACCCTTCCAGGACCATGTGTACCAAAAATGTTACATGGTCCTTCTAGTGTATTTCTTGGTCGGAAAGAGATTTTAACTAAACATTATCCAGTATTCTATTGGTTAAAAAATTTCGGTGTCGAAGTTATGCTTGTTTGTTTTTTTTTTTGAAAAAGCTCTTCTTTTGAGCTGTAACAAAGAAGAGAAAATTACGCCTTTTTTTTTAAAGTGTGTAATGCATCCACACTCCTAATTGCTTGATTTTATCACTGGCCAGAGTATTTTCCACAGTCATCTGATAGCTTAATAAACGACGTATTTAACTATAAACTTAATTTTGAAAACAAAGCTTTATTGCGCAGTAGTATCACATAGAGAGATATACACATATACAGAGATATACAGAGATAGAGTATCACTCAGAGCTTTTTCTTTTCAGTGCAACTCTAAAGTTTATTTGATTGGGCGTCACTAGTGTAACGGATAAGAGCACGCATTCCCGGAAAGAGTGAGGTGCGGATTCTAGTACCGCGCCTGACGTGGGAGTTTTGCATATCGCTCTATATCAAAGATTATGTTTTGCAATCTGATTAAATAACCTGTCTCTCACATCGGGTTTATTCATATTCCATGGTACTTTTCATGATCTAGGAAGAAATTTATTTGAGGAAAGGATGTACCAAAAGTTCTTCACTTAGAAGAACGCTCCACGTATCCTAGGATCTCCTACTTTCACTTCAAATGTGAAGGCTACATCAAAGGGGGAAAAATAGCACTCCCAGTTCATGAGCGGACCACGAAATCCGAGGCGGAAAAGAACAAACCGGGATTCTAATCTCTAAAGTTTAACTTACGATTCAAAGCATAGAAAGAAACACAGCTTTAGGGCCCAATAACATTGCTACTACTTCGCTGAGCTGATGGCCACGGCACTCTTGCGAGACATATAACATCACACCTTCAGAGAAATATCTCAGAAAACTCACACATTCGGATATAATATCTCAGAGAGGTGGAGGTCTTCGTGCCCTCTCATCTCACTTGAGAAGTGTGAAAAAGGACTCTCCGAGCATAGTGTCCGGTATGTTTGTTAAGTGTACTCTACAAGCTTTCACGATACTCAACCTCCTGAGCATAGTGTTATCACATATGAGGCTTAATCAGTTAGGCAAGCAGACCTTTGAAAAATTCTGTCGTGAGGAACATATCCAAACCGTGTCGCGGATCACTGAAGTCTGTCGGTAATGCCGTATGCACCTTAACTGAACCTTCTTTGACTACGTGAAAAACGTTTGACAGCATTGAAACGAGTGCATCCTGCTAGACTTCGTTGACTAAGTTACAGAGCCGTCCTACGCACAGAAAATAAGTGGCTCTTACCGAAACTGCAGCACAATATGCGGCTTCTCCACTACACTTCACTACACCCAGAGAGAAATGAGCCTTGTAAGGCGAAATCGTGTTGTCAGAGGTAATCCACAGCTTTATTACAATGAATAATGATTTTACTCGACTGAGACGAGACGGCTTACATATTGATAAAAATCCTCTTCCAACTTCTCTTGTGAACGACAGCGTCATTTTCTCAAAAATAACTCGTGGAGCAGAAGCTATGCTCAGTGAACTTAGCAAATCGGAAAAAAGATTCGATTATGCATGAACAGGGCGAAAGCCCAGTTTTTAAGAGATCCATGATGCGAAGGTGAAGGAATCAAGCTTATGCCTTCTCAAATTTTGTCAGCACTCCAATGTCAAGGTGACTTGCGCAGGTTAGATTTTTGAAAACTATTCCATCTTTGTGATTCAACAATACACATGCATCGATAGCGGAACACAGATTGGCCGCTCAATGAAGAACAGGTGACAGGTGTGGAGAAAAATCATTGGGGTGATTTCCAAAGCGAATGCATGCGTCCTCCTGGAAGAATGCCATGCGTCCTCCTGGAAGACTACCGAAACGATGGGCAAACGTGTTTGTGGCTAACGTTAGCCATCTGCATCCGCAAGGAGTTTGAAATCACAAAGTGGGCCTTGCGCGCGTCAACATGCTCGAATAGGCCACAGCCATGGTCGAAAATTCTGTGAGAAAGAAGCGAATGAAAACCATGTTGGAGTCTGCACTGGCGGGTCGTTACAACTACTCGTGTAAGTAAAAAAATTGAATATCACGGTGCAAATCTTATACTATTTACATCCTCTAATTCCATTCACTAATCGGAACTGATCACTGTAATTCTAAATTACCGAGAGCTGAAGAAGATGTCAAAAATGATGAAAGTCAATTCGTGAGATGCTAATACATTGGTAATTCATTGATTTTGATTATTCACGTGTAATTAGGAGTTGGGCTAACCATGGAAATGAAAAGAAACTTTCTACATTCCATTTAGTTCCTGGCTCTCTAATTAACTCAACTTCAGTGTGACTAAGAACAAAAGTTTCTGGAGGTTGATCATTTAACGAGAACTGATCCGACATCTGTTTCCGTTGGAATTCATTCTCCACTACCTAAATGAGTGATTTCTTTTCTGCGTCGTTTAGTTAAGTGAATGCCTCATTTTGAATTGTCTATACTTTTTGTGTGCCTAAGAGAAGTCGGGTGTTTCCAGACAACTCCAAGAAATTATTGAATTAGCTGCTGTTTCAGTCAGGAATTGCAGGTTATTTTTGAATTTATCATTCCTCGATGCACTCGTATTATTGCGTACGATAACAGGAATTCAGAAGATGTGGGTATTGATTGTTATTTATCAAAAGTTGAGATTGTCTTTCGGTTTTTTTTTTTCGTTTTATTTGTTTATTTACCAATTAAATTAAATCTTAATTCAATAAAACTAATTTCCCGGTCTTTTTTATAGTTCTTTATGTGATCAATAAGCGTGTGATTCGAGATTCTCAATATGTTGAACCCATCACGAATGTGAAGTGTGGATTTGAGTCCCCCTACTGCAAAAGTTTTGCACCAGAATTCAACATTATTGAGTATATCTATAACATCATACCACCCCTAAAGTGATTAAATAAGAACTGCGCTTGATAAGCGGTAAGGTTTTCAAAAAATAGGGCTTTTTGCGCCTCGGCGCGCACATTGCACGCCATGTGTGTGAATTGTGCTGCGTGACAAAAACAAATAACCTAACGTGGAAACCTAGTGAAAACCAGTCAGATTAACTGAAGTAGTTGAGATTTGTGCTATCGCACCGTTGTTGAAAATGCGAAGAAAAAGC